GTTGTCAAGTAAATGAGGCTTAATTAACAAATACTTATAACTCCTGTCTCATGTACTGATCTTGCCTGCTCAATTCTGGGGATTTTCACATTATTTGTACATGTTGGCCACATTTCGTGCAGTTGATTCGGCTTCCTCCGCAACCTCATGTGAAGAGGGCTTTGATTTTCTCTTTACTTATCTTCTTTCAGATCGCTGGACCAGACGACGCCTCTAATTTCGACAAATATCCGGATCAGCCAGAAATACCGCCTGATGAATTGTCAGGTTGGGACGAGAACTTCTAGATCACGCTCGATGTTGCCCAGTTCTACTGTCCATGACACTTTTGCACTTTACTTCATTCACCTTGCCTTTGCTGTCCAAATCTTGCTAATCTTATTTTAAACAACTTGTGCTACGCTTGCTAACCCCTGTCTCGCGGATCCTGCCTTGCTAGAGTCGCCCCAAATGATGATGGGTAAACATATTATTGCTTTCAACTTCTCGTAAGATTATTTTTATGTAGCATGAAGTTCTCTAATAATCCTCGTCTGGAAGGTGGCCAATAAAATACGATGAGCACTTTACTATATGCTTTCCCTTTGGCTAAATGCGATGCCCTGATATGTTTGGATTTCTTCCATTTAGTATTTTTTAAAAATTAATTTTGCTTTTCTCTCTTCCACGAATCACTATAATCATGTGTTCATGTACAAAATACATCCATAGAAACATATTTATGTGCATAAATAAACAATTCAAGCTGTACTTTTCTCTTTCTTGGTGATCACTTGAAATAATACTGCTGCTTTTATTACTTTATTTTGACACCTTCCTGATTTATTTTTTAATACAATGTGAAATAGTGAATCTTTACCCTCTGGCCAAACCCTTACATGATCCTAAGCTTGAAAGAACTATTCGTAAACGCGGATCGAGCTCATCTGATCCTCGATAGCTGGCAGATTTGACGGCTGACAACGCAGACCTTCATATTTTACTCAATGGTCTTCTATTTTTCATGATCCTTTTCTGTGTTAAGCCTCATATTTTTATGCTATTTTGATTGATTGATTTATTTGTGATTTTACCTGTACGATCTTTTTTCTCCATAATCTATCTTTTTAGCCATCGTATGGCTATTATTTTTCCTTACGATGGCTTTGTACCTATCTCTTATGCTTCCCTCGTTGATTCTGTAGAAACACCCTTCACATGCATCATAAACAGCCAGTTCATCAGCCTGAAATTTGCCCTAGTCAGATTTCCTCTTCTTACTGGCTATTTATTTGGTTCAAGTCGTCGCTGCGAGGACCATTTGCTGAGAAGGCAGTGTTTTAAGCAACCCTTTTTGCTCGTCCGAATGGGCAAGCTGTAGATACTAGCCCTCATTTTTGATTTTTGATTACTGAGATCCCACAAACAGGTATAGTCAATACATTTTTTACGTATACACTCCAACAACTCCTGCTTATGGCCAATTTTTCCGCTAACTACATATGCCAGATGGCTGTTTGACAGTACACTAAAAGGCGACCAAGCAATCAACAATTTTGCAATCACTCAGGCAAAAACTGCTGAATAAACACAAATGCCCAGTCAGTAGGTAATGTTTGCACTCAGTCTGCTGAGCAGGCATTTCACTGATCTGAATCAGTTCAAGTCCTCGAAGGATTTGATTTGCTCATATCCAAAACGTAAATTGTACAACTCCGGCTCACTGGAACGCTTACGTTTTAAAAAATACTCAGTTTAGATATTTATTTGCGTATGTCTATTATTATTTCGATTGACTCAACATCGTGGTAACTATAGCCTAGCTCTTTTAGCTCCGTCATGCTGCTCTTTGATGGAAGCCTCGATCATTCTGCTTCATTTTCTCAATGGGCCTTTCAAACTTTGTACAGTTGTCAACGTCTCCTCTCTCCTCTCCCCAAGTATGCAGTGTTAGAAAATGTACTCTAATATCTGCACTTTTTTACTTGTATAAACGCTCGCTATCCGGAGAGAAATATATAATGTTTATTTACATGATGATGGATGTATCTACAGGGGCAATATAAAGTAATGTTGCTTGTTATGTAACGTAAATTTGAGTGCTATTTTTGTGTGTTTTTGCACCAATGGAAGCTAAATTTATAGGCTTTAAAATTATTTGAATGTTTTTATTTAAATTTTGATTGTAACTTTAGTCTAGGCTTCATTATAAAGAGTGAATAAGAAGAATCATACCTGTTGTTACCTACCGTATGAATTTCGCCCTGGTACCAATACAAAAACAAGTACAAACAAGTTTTGTTTCGTTCTTATGCATTTTGATTCCATTGACTTTAGCATTCGCCTCTCAGAGCGGATCAAGCAATCTGCACCTGTGTTGCTCATTGTCCTGTAAGGCTAATGTAATCGGCAATTGG